GCTTTACAAGGGCAGCCCCATTTAGAGTGCATTGCAGTAGTTGAAGTAAGAGGTGACTAAGCCATGAGTGAACATTAGCAAGGCTTCCTTATCTAAGAATGGACACAATTGGTGCACAAAATGGCTTTGTGCAAAGTTCTTCCTAGTTATGGCTACAACCTATGCCTCAAGCAAGCTCCATTAATCTAAGAGGACCCCCATATTGTGCAGCAACTTTGGGGCAGTGCAACCCCATTCCAAGTTGAAGATGAAACCTCTCCAGATGTGGGGGGGGGCTAAAACCCCTAGTCTTGGATTGATCTGAAGTCTGTTATTCCTGTCCAGACCCTTAAATCCTTCAGACACTGGGAAAGAAGCATGACAGTATCACTTGGGGGCTGGGGATGGAGACATGTAATTGCATATAATCAGCTTATTGATTATACTTCACCCTGGGTTGGCAGATGACCTGATTCAGAGATTTTATATAGATAATAAATAGGAGCAGGGAGAGAGTAGAGCTCCAAGGTACCCATATAATAGGCAACTAGAGCTAGATTTCTGTCTCTCCTGAGAGGATTGGAATTACTGTTGAAGGAAGAACAGTACCCACCCACCCCCAACATCCCTCTATGCCAGTCCAGAAGGATACTATGATCAGTGCTGAGTGTGAAGGAGTGTAGACCTGGCTTTGGGAATGAGGAGGAAATGAGCAAACTGTGAAGGTGCAGGGTAGGAATTTCAAAAAAGATTACTCAGTCCTGAGAAAGGAGAAAGCGTGAGAGAGAAATTCAAAATAGCTCCACCTTGATTTTGTTTTCTACAAGATGGAGCAAAGAGAAACTCTTGACAGTCTTTCAAGATTCTGTTATTCTACCCTACAACAATACAGAACATTCCTGGAATCTCTGCTGTGTCTGTTTCTGACCTCGCCTACCTCAAATGGTTGACACTGAGAGATCATGGTGGACCAGGACAGATGTACCACCCATCCCATGCCCATTAAAAATCATTGACAAGTGTGATCAATATTTTCTCAGTGCTAGAGCTAAGTCTGAACTCTGACTGAAAATGGTTCAGATAATTCATTTCTTCCAAAACCTTCTGGTGCTAAAAGATGGCCACCTTCTTAACAACTTTCCCTAAGATGGGAAAATTGGAGACAGGATGAAACTTGTCTGACTCTGTTGGATCCAGCAATGGTTTCTGGAGGGAACCCACCCCTCAAGAGACATTGGAGCCACCCCCTCTCACACATTATCTAGATATGTGGTACACAAATGGATAAAGTAAATATATGACATGGTAGCAAATCATATGTCAAGCTCCCATAAATAATGGATTCTTTTTATTGAAAATATACCTAGAAATAAAATAAATTTTATTTAATATATACAATATATTATTATCAAAAATACACACACACAGAGTATAGATAGATGAGAGAGAGAGAGAGAAAGAGAGAGATTATATAGAGCCAGTTTGGTCTTGTGGTTAAGCCCCCAGGCTAGAAAGCAGGAGACTGTGAGTTCTAGTCCCTCCTTAGGCATGAAAGCTGGCTGGGTGACTTTGGGCCAGTCACTCTCTCTCAGCCCAACTCACCGCACAGGGTTGTTGTTGTGGGAAAAATAGGAGTAGGAAGGAGTATTTGCTATGTTTGCTGCCTTTTGTTATTTATAAAAATAATAAAGGAGGGATAAAAATTAAAAAAAATAATGTACTTGGTAGAGGACCAACTACTGAGAATCAGCAGTATAGTGTAGTACAGCATAAAATTAAACTACTGGATTTAGTGTGACCTGAGTTTAAGTCCCTGATTAACCACGAAATCACTGGGTGACTTTGGAGCAGTAAATGTTTCTCAACCCAACTTTCTATACAGGGTTATCATTGGATAAAATTAGGGGAAATCCCACCTAAGCCGTCTTGAGTGCCCACGCAAAAGAATGCTCAATGTAATAGTTTCTAGATATTTATTTCATTTATTTACAGATCTTATAAGCAACTCTGATCTGTAAACTCTAAGTAGGGTACCACTTCCCGATATGCAATTGGGATTAAAACCATACAGTTGGTTAAAAAAAAAACAGCTACTAGAAATATGAAAAGGGGAACATGACTAAAAACGTTAACAGTAATAAAAGGAAACTCTATTTCATGACTTAGAGACAATTAACACACTCCAGACGCCTTACTGGTGGGAAAAAACCAGGTTTTCATCAGCTTCTTAAAAGCCAGAAAGGAAGGGGCTGATTGCACATAGGGGGAGTGCTGTTCCAGAGGAGTGGGGTGGTGACTGAAAAGGCATGCTTCTGTGGCCCCTGAAGGTGACTGTCTCTAACTGAAGGGACATGTACTGAAGCCAGGCTATTGGATCTTATCAAGTGGGCAGATGTTACTAGGGCAGGGCAGGCCAGCAGATACCCAGGCCCTGAACTATGAAGGGATTTAAATTTACCTTTAAAACCCTTCCTGGTTCTTGAATTGTACCTGGAAGCTAACTGGCAACCAGTGCAGCTCTCTCTGAGGAGAGGTGTTACATGGATGCCTTGAGACACACCCACCACTGCTGCATTTTGGAATAGCTGCAGCTCCTGAATGTTCTTCAGAGTGTAAAGCATGTGAAAATAGCCCACTATTTAGAAAAGCTTGCAATTCCAGGAAAGTATAGTAAGGTGGGCAAGCTACAGCATGCAAAAAGCAATGTTTTCCCATAAATGAGGACCATATGCCCAGTCAAGCAAAAAAAGAAAAGAAAAGAAAAAGGAAAGAGAAAAAAGAAAAAAGAAAGAAAACAGTGACCATAGAGTAGAATGTAGTTCTTATGTGAGCTGAGTAACATTGGAATTTCACATTTTATGCTGGCAAGTTTCTATCTAAATAATTTTATTTTACAAGAAATTTAACAGCATATTTTGCAGTGTTGTATCTACTTCTCATGCAGTTGGATGCAGCACATCTGTTAAGTTACAGTCCTATGCAGCAGCTGTATATGTATCCCTCCAGACTGTAACACCTCCAAAATATACTGTTGAATTATGTTCAGTGAGCTAAATGGGGAAAATAGACAGATGAAATAATAATCACGTCCATTGTATTTGATGAAGTTTAATCAGATTTAAATTTTGTCCTAACCATGTCCACTTCTTTGTTTGAGAGTGAGGTAACTGCATGGCACTGAAAGCAATATATAGCCCTCTGACTATAAAAGGTTGCCCCCCCCTCCCGTTATACATGCTTACTGAAGAATAATCACCATATAACTAAGTAAAATAATCACCATTTCACTAAATAAAATTCAGCCATAGTTCTGTTTTAAAGTGACCCTATTTAAATCAGTGGATTTTAATTTACTTATGATGTGTTCTAAGTAAGAATAAGTTGAATTCTACTAAATAAGTATGCATGGATTGCAGTAGAAATCCTTAACGTGAACCCTTTTTGCAACATGCCTTAACCATGTTGTTGTTTTAAAATGGAACAACAGCAAATCTTCCAACATAAGACAAACTGTTTTTCTAAGTCCACACCATTATTTTTCACACACACACACACACACACACACACACACACACACGGGGCAGGATGTAGGGAGAAGTATGATTTGAGAAAGAGATGCCCAAAGAACTCTTGGGCTCATCTAATCAGTTGTGCCATTCTTTCACTTCTGTCCAAGTTGATGGAAATGCTTTTGGAAATAACTCATCATAGAAAGAGACCACCCTATGCACAACAACTCCTGATTCACACTAGGAGTCTACTTGTAACCATCTTATTCCTAACACACTGACCACTGAGACAAATGCTGGAGGCTACATGATAGAGGAAACTCATACATTCCTTGCCTGGTTCCCTTGCTCCCAGGAAACTGTGGGATATAGTGCTGGACATGACGTTACCTTGGGTACATGACAGTCAGCCCCTAACCAGGCTCTGTTTTACAGGCTTTGGTGGCACCCTCTTTATATCCTTGGGTAAGATATGAACTTGTGGTAATTGGGGCAACAATGGCAAACACATCTATGTTCTTTTCTTCCAAAACTTGTTTGACTTTTCTAAGTGTCTGTTTTAAAGAAAACAGTATAAGCTCTTGGGCTTATTTGGCAGTATTAGTGTTTTATTGTCTAAGTGTCTGACTGACAGGGCATAGGAGCGACTACATCCGAAAGGTACTTTTCTACTTTTTTCCCTGCAGAATTCTAGGCAAAGTCTGGCGCTGGAGTTGGCTGTCATGTCCAAGGCTGTCAGCTTTTTTTGTTCATTTTCTTTGAAACCACAAGGGTAAGATGAACCGCAGGGTCAGATGGGCTGTTTTGGATCAAATGGTCTGATTAGGATATCACTTCACTCTTTCAAAAAACAAAAAAGAAACTTCCCCCCCCCCTTATTGCTCTTGAGTTTGGCAAAAGTTCTCTTTATTAGATGATGTGCTACTTTGCTAGAGGAATTCCTTGACTGGTTCAATATATATGTTATAATTGATCAGGAATAAAATAGTCCATCTTGCCTTCGTTCCATTTTACCCAGTTGAAACAGAAAATAAAACCAATCCCCAGCTAATTAATTTAAATTTCCAAGACTTTATTCACAATGACCCTTTGCATCTACGCCTTGCAAAATTATTTAGCACATTGTGGAAACATGTGTATATTTTTCTTTGCTACCCCAAGTTACTCAGTTTTCCATCTTAAGAATTTCATGCATGTCAATTGCATTATGTTTTTTGGCAAATTAAAGGAATGTAAAGGCTACTGATTTCAGCCTTTTATACTACCATTAAATTATAATTTAGAATAATGAGCATATTCCCAAAGAGCCCCTATAATTTTATGGCCATGAGCAGGCAACTCCAGCAATTTACTTATAGTCTGGCTTGTTTTAAAATAAGCATAATAGTAATATTTTCATTGCTTTTCAAGTAAATGAGATATGTAGCTCATCCACCTCTATTTGCTTTGAAGTGTGGAGCTAAATATAGAGATGGGAGATGTTTCATTCTACTATTGACTTGTGACATCTAG